CCATCGTTTAATTAGTATCGGCCAGAGGAAATTGAATTCTGTAGCGACACCGACGATTTTCAGTTACGTTTTACATATCCCGTCCCACATATCCGGACCTTCACTTGTTGCGCAAACGAAAACTGGCAGAGGGGTAAAAAGAAAAGAGAGTCGCGCGACATTAAATGCACACGCTGGAAAATCAGTACCGTAAGCGCTCCACTTCTCTCTTTCTCTCTTTTTCTCTCGTTCCCTCTCTACTAAAAGAAAACCGCTCCGGAATCCACGCCTTGGAATGCACGGCGACGACGCGACTCGACTTGTTAGCGCAAACACAAACCTGTCCACCTAACCGATTTCCCCACAATCTCGCGTAGAATTTCCCTGAACGTCCGTTACGTTAGACGCATTTATAATAACATCTGTGTAATTTTTTTACTATAATTAATGATTAAATATTCTCTGATACAATAATGCCCCCCCTCCCTCCCGCGTGCTAACGCGTAATTCAATAATTATAATTGGTAATCAAATACTCTTCGGTGTAATAATGTCTCTGTATTATCAGTAATTCAATAAATGAAAACGTGTGTCAAAGTGCTGCAAGAGAATGGCAAAATCGGCAAAGCCCGTTTTATCGAGTTTAATGAGCTGCGCATTTCTGCAAAATTAACTCAAAAAAGAAAACGCGTCCCGCTAATATTCGCATTTACAACGCTTTAACGTCAATTATATTTCGTAATTTAACGACTATCGCGTCGTATTATTCAAAGCACTATTATCCACTGACGCGCAGGTATCATAAATCTATAAATTTTTATCGTACTTCAGTCTTTCCCTTGCTTCTCTTATTTTTGCAATTTAATTTATAAATTAATTTATGAAAAAAATATTTATAATTTGGTGTTAAATTTATATTATTTATAAATTTATAATTTTTAAATTAAAGAATGTGGAGGACGTGGAAACTTGGGCGTTACGAAACTCTTATGTTACCGAAAGTTTTAACTTTTTTTTAACGAAAGTCATCAACAAATATTGAAATATACAGATTTTTGCAAGTGCTTGTACACACAATGTTTTTTCGAGCCTTTTCATCATGAGAAAAAAAAATAAAATGAATTTGCGCTTTGAATTCGCCTAGAATAAGACACAATGCGTCCGTGAATACCACGATTGAAATCGTTCGGTCGGAAGGGGTTAATCTCCAGGGGATACTCGAGCCGAGGTGAATTTTCTGCTTCGGGTTACGAGAACGGGAAAGACGGGGACTCGACTCGACTAGACTCCGACATCGACACGACGTCGCCATCGTAATCTTGTCCACGCTGTTTCCCCCCTCCCCTCCGCCCCACAGGCAGCTCTTTCTCTTTCTTTCTCTTACTCTTTCCCCGAGATCGCCTCATCGACCGATACTTCACACGAACACGAGCGCGGTTACGCTCACGGACGTGACCACGTCCGCAAAGTATCGTCAACACGACCAACATTTTGTTGTTTCAATGAAACAGCTTTGTCATCGCGCGGTCAATAGGATACTTCCGTTGAATTCAATGAAATTACAGTAGAATCTCCATTATCTGGACTGATTGGGAGACATTGGGAAGCGTTCGGAAAAAACGCAGGCATTTGAAAAATAAGATCTTTTTGATAGAAGAATCATTCTTTTCGCATCGATAGAACTTCACTTTTTCCGCTTGTTCCATCTATTTTAAAAAGAATAATAGAAAAAAAATTAACAAAATTAATAATTCGTTAAAAAATTTATGGATCCCGCTATGACATGCAAATTTTTTAATACTATATAAAAATTTTGTATAGTTTTTTTACAGTTTTACAGTTCGATTATATAATTTCATAAATGAGAAAAGACTCTTCCTAAATAAAATTTTTGTGCTGAATATATGCTATAAAAAGATTTTTCTAATGTACTCCAATTAATCTATTAGAAATCTGTGTGACAAAATTAAAAGAATTAGACAAATGCAAAAACAATATCACACTGCACAGAAAAGTCTAAAGATGAAATTTTTCGAAAATCAGTATTTATATGAGTGCAGGCGAAAAATGAAAAATAGTCCAAACATATGAATGAAGGCAAAAAGTGAAAAATATTAAAAACATACATCAAAAACATCTCAAGATTATTATTTTCTTGATCGAGGAAAGTTTTCGTTAATGTCAAATTTGTATTGCAAAACGAATTGTCAATTTTTCCATAAAAAATATTAGAAAATCTGCGATTTCTAGCAAGTAACGAAGAGCTTTTCGAAAACTAACAATAAGCTTCAAAAGTATAGATAGTAAGATTATGTACAGTCGTGAACATATCGGTTGCGACACTTTTTTTTAATAGGTTTAAAAACGCACTAATATTTTGCAAATGCGACACACGATTGGTGTTATACTGTTTATACCTAGACTAAAAATAGTACATCGTGGTTCGCGTTTGCAAAACATTAGATACCTATAAAATATATATTATGTATATTAAATGTATATTAGAAACCTATAAAAAAAGTGTCGCAAACAATCTGTCCACGATTGTACACATAATATAAGTAGTAGATGTAGACAGTTTTAGTCTTTGTTTGATTTCAAGTAAATTTCGAGATATTTCTGATTTTTTAATATCAATATTTAACGTTGGAAGATCGTCAAATAATGATCGCTCTCGATACGCCAAGAATGAAAATCGATTATTCGATTCAGTCGAAAGAAGAATGAATGAAACGTGACTTGTGTTTTCAGGACAATTAAAGAGAGAATTAAAAACGCGACGATTTTGCGTGGCCGGAATCGCAACGTCTGAAATGGAGCGAGAAACTCGCGCGCCGCGCGCGCGCGCGCGGAATCCGCTCCGCTCTTTTTTCCTTCTGTCTCGCAATTCGGCCGGGACACGAAGCGTAATCGATTCGCAATTGACGCCCGGCCGTCGCGCGACCGCGCGCGCCATGTAGATGAAGAGAGCCCGGTTGTATTTCGCCGCCGATCGAGAGCCGCCGCAAACGGGATTTCCGAGGTCTCCTCGCGTGTCGCGAGCGAAACGTGCCTCCGTCTCGCATTGGCGGGCATGCGGGCCGCGCTCCGTTTTCTCGCCGTGAGCGAGAACCGCGAGAATAAAAGGCGAGAAGGATGCGCGAGGGGGTATTACGAAAAGGAACACGCCTATCGCGAGAAGATATTACGGGTGAGATAGAGGTGTGCGCGCTGCAAGAGAGGCGACGAACGCCTTGACCCTTTAATCGCGCGCGCACGCGAAGTCGAGGAATTATCAAGCGAACAAAGCAGCGATATTTACGCCAATACCGCGGCGCGATACGGCGCCCTGATTTATTTCCGTTATTAATCGGCGAAAAAGATGACGACCTCATAAAGCGAGTCGGCGCGCTCGAATCGCTCTCGTGTGTGAAATTTCACTCGCTTTTTTACCCGCGAACGTCCCGACTATCGCCGATCGGCATATGCGCGGAACTGTAGAAGAACAAATAAAGAAAGATTTTAAGATAAGTAAGTGTGTATTTTATATTTAATTATTATAGCCTTTCGAGAAAAATAATTCTATGCGTGTCCGTTGTTGGTTGTACCGCATTTTTTCTAAAGATTCTTCCCACATCAACGACGTTTGCGATCGAAGGTCCGGCATTTGCCTATTTTAATGAGCAATTTCCAAAGTTCTTTAATGAGCAGATGCAAAGGTGCATCTTGTCTGAAAAGAAATGCCTCTGAAGCACGACGGCTGCATTCGCGTAAGCTAAACCCGACCTAAGGATCACCGCTAATGCCGTGGCGTCGTGACACAGATTGGTAAATCAATATTACATCACGATCTCTCTCTATTAATTTCCCAGACCGTTCCAGGTAGCCAATTCGAGGAGCCGGGGAACGGATAAATCCCCTATTATTATCCCATCCGCGGATTCTCTCGACGGCTTATAGGTATATATATATATATTCGCGCGAAGCCGACGCGCACGGCGGCGGCGACGGCGCGCGCGCGGCGAGGACGGTTCTCTCCGGTAATCCACGGGTTGCGTCGGAAACGCCGCGCCGTCTAGAAAGTAACGCTCCACATCGACGACCTTGTTCCTAGGATCTACATGCCGCCGCCGTCGATCTCGGCCTCGGCATGGCGCGGCGGTATCCGCGACCGATCGGCCGCTTTCGGGGCCTCCCGTCCGAGAGATAACGCGCGGCGGATCGTCGACGCGACGTAGACAGACAGCGGGGAGGGGGGGGGAGGGATGTTTCTCTCGACGCAGAGTCGAAAAAAAAACTACGAAATCTATCGAGAGCGCGAAAAGAACGAGCCCTCTGCGATTCCACGTGCTTGCAGCTCGGCGAAAGATCCTCTTCGTACTCCTCTCTCGTCTCGAGATCGACGTTCCGATCGCCACGCGTAACGCAAAAGTGACCTCCTTTTGTCCGCGCGACGACGGGAACGACGGGCCCGAATGGGAATGAGCGCGACGGATTCGTTCCATTATACGCGCGACGATTTTCTTTTTCTTTTTTTTTTTTTTTTCATTAAGCTAACGTTAATTTCGGTCGAGGATCACGGATCGCGCTGAGCCGAAGAGAGATCGAAACCGAATTCTCTCGAACGTCTGGTGTGCCGCCACGTTCGGAGCCTCGAGCCTCCGCGCGCGACCTGCGAACCGAGGCGGACCTCTATGACGTCATCGATCGCTCTCGATCCGGACCCGCTTCGGCGGCGTGCTTTATCCGTGCCAGTGGGCACGCAACAAGCGGCGGCGCGCACAAGAGGTGCGGACGCAGGGGAAAGAGCAACTCTTTTGCTTGACAACACGCACGCACGCACGCACACGAACGAGCGCCATCTTCGCGTGCGTGCGCGCGCGCGCGCGCGCGCTGGTGGCACCAAGTCCGAAATTCTGAACTCGGGGAAATCGAGACCGCCGCCGCCGCGCCGCACCGGTCCCGCTTCAATTCTCTCGCGCGAGAGCGGCCGACGCGGCGCTGCGTAGTAACCGCATGTATGTATTTATGAGACAAATTACCGTTTATTTTCTTTTTCGTCCTCCGTCGAAGATCCTCCCGGACGTGAACGCGTAAACCGTACGGCGCCGCGGCGTGCAACGATGAACGACAATCGGCGGTGACAGCTCGCAACACGTGGGGCGAATAAGTGCACGGCGCAACACGTGCGCACCCCGTGCGTCTAGTTACCACGCGTGTACGCGCACACGATCGGCGTGCGCGTATGTGCGTTAATACGCGCGCGACACTCTCTCGCTCGTATATCGGGCGTATCGGTGCGCCAATTCGTACCTCCGTGCGCGCGCGCGCGTGCGTGCCTACGCGTGTGCGTGTGTATACGTACGTGTGCGATGAGGCGCGCGCGAGCGCGGAAGCGAGGGATGCAAAAACAACGCGGCGGAGCGGCGAGCACGGCGTACATAGTCGCGGTTGTACTGATCGTGGGGGTCGAGCCACAGGTGTCATCTGACGGCAGCGAGCGCCGTCCCTTCCCTCTCGCCCGCTGCTACGTCACTGCCCGTCTCCCCTCCCCCCCCAACCCCCATCCTCAGCCGGCATGGCAGTCCCCACTATTCCCGCCCGTCCCTTCCTCGCCGGCGCGGCGCGTTGGTATGTGTGTACTGTTACCATATGACTGTTACTGTATTGGCAGAGACGTTTCTCTGTCGCGTTCCTTACACCGAGGATACGCGCGCGCGCGCGAATATACGTGTGAGCCGAGCCGAGGATATTGGCCAGCGATACTCTCGACACTCGGAGCGCATCGGTATACATTTTTTTTTTCTTCGGGAATATTCGGGATAAAAGAGAGACTGGGGATGTGATGACGGAAATTTGTAATTTAAAATTTATATTGTTTATAAATCTTATCATTTATAAATTTTTAAAGAATGTACGTATTTAGAAAACTTATGCGTGCAACTTTTCTAAAACTGAGGAATTATTATGTGAAAATAGTCCTATCTTTTGTAACGAAAATCATTGTCCTCTCGACGCATGCTGAAATATACATATAATTTTTTTCAAGCATTTATATTGTCTAATAAAATCTCATCTATCGAGATATTCCTTCACGTGCGAAAACTTTGCAGCAAAAAATCACAATTATTCGGGTAGCCTTTAATAACGAGATAATCGATTAAATTACTTAATATTCATTGCTTCATTCGGTGTCTATGTATTTGAATTAAACGACTTGTCACTTGTCCATTCTGTAACCTGTCATTCTAAAATTATATATAGAAACTGTTTCGCGAGGGAGATTATAATATTTTAGTAGAATTGTCAAATTAATTACGATCAAAAGTCCCATTTAATCTTCAGAATTGTTTCATTTTAATTCGAAATATGTATGCTATTTATTAAAAATGAAAAATATTATATTGTTCGTACAATTCGAAGCGTATGTAAAAATACATTCGCCTTCAAGTTTGAACAGATCTTGCCTCTCGAATGAATGATTAAATAAATGATCGATTCCCGCGCGATGCTCAATCCTTCGGATAGTTCGAATAAAGAGGAAAACTCAAAAGAGTGAAAATATATCAAATTCACAAACAGAAATACTTCATTTCGAACTCAGATTCGTCAATCAAATCAAATCAAATTGTTTGGATATGTATGCCTAACTTATAACTTCGAAACAATCTCCGATTCAAGCAGAAGATTCGAACTGTTTGACCTTCGCAAAATTCCGAAAGCATAACTTGGCTACCTACGAACTTCTAATAGACTCATGCGAAGAATAGTTTTGAGACAGATAGATACTTTTCGAGTTTACGTGCGATGGAAAAATGGCAAGGACACCATATTTTTTTGTATAATTTTTAGCTCCTCTGCGATACATGTAAGAAATAAATGCTTATATATTCGTTCCCTTTTCAAGTTTTAACTAAAGTGAACGTCGGTCAAAACTAGAATGAGATATATATATATCTAAAACGAGTCTCTAAATCCGCCTGAGAAATATTCTAAACCTGAGTACATGATTTATTTGTTATTTGCCTGGCAACCTGATTATCTTAAGCACTTTGACGACAAAGAAAGGAAGAGAAATATGTAGAGATAAAATGGACATGAGATTCCGACGGTTATTTTATCGAAGGTCCGTTTTTTCTTGCTGTTATTTTCAGAAAATAAAAAACGACGGTAAATAGAAGCATATAATTGTGTGTGCTTCAAATTTTTTCCAAGAATAGAAGTTTAAGCATAAATTTACAGCGTAACGATGCTTTATGCAGTCTAAAAAAATTTATATGTCTCATTAGAATAATACAAATTCAAATTAGAAATAGGTACTTATATGTCTGAAATAAATCGGTCTAAAACTAATACATATTTGCTGAATTTAATTGCAGAGTGAAACTCAAAAGAACAATGTATGATTACCTAATTCAATTTGATTTAATTGAAACAAATCAAATTATTTGTTAACAAAAGAAGAGGGAGTTTATCGCTTAAAAGAAAAGTATAATCTCTCCGGGGCAGGACAGAGATGAATTCATAGGTCAAATAGATATTTATTCAAAAAACCATTGTGTATCCATGACAAAACATATAACGTCCGTTATCGACGTAACGCGCATAACGTATATACCCTCATTCATTCGCTCGCACTCACACTAATTACTCCCACGTCATTTTCTCCCTCTTTCTTCGTTTTCTCCTTGTTTCCTCTTTTTTCTTTTTTTTTTAGTAAACTTAATATTTACTAATAATATATCTTTCTTTATGCTTTTTTTTTATGCAGTAGAATATAATATTCTTCTATCTCCGCCCCGCAGGTGTTGCAGGTTCATACACATTACAATTTACGATGTTATTATTTAACTGTTGATTGTGTACGTGTCTAATTACATGTTGTCGCACACGTGATAATGGCGCCAAGCCACTGTTATTTCAGCTATACGCCACGCAATTTCCCGCACAAATTCTGAATCTGCGCCGAGTGAACGGCGCACGATATTTCCGATCGATTTTCGAGGGGTATCTGTCTGCAGATAAAAGTGCACGTGATCCGAATGGATTGCCGCCTGAAGAGAGAAATGGAAACCACCACCTGAAATAGATTAACTTCTCGACACCGGAACAATCTCTCTCGGGTTCTCCCAGCAAGAGAAAATTTCTCCATTTTTTTAAATATTTCTCTAAATATTTCCAAAACTGTTAATTAAACGCTGAATATAAAGATTTACAATCTTAAAATTAAGTTAACTTGATATCTTAATAAATTAAGATATACAAAAGTACATTATAGAAACAACAGTAAAAAAAATTACGTATTTCTATCCGAAATCTTAAACAATTAGCAATCCTCGATTTTCATATCGAATATCAATTTTCTATGAGAAAATTGATGTTCAATAATTGTTACAAAAAATCTGTAATTGTTCTACCTGGAACATTTTCATAGGATCAAATAGAGGTGGCGCAAATTTATTTCGCGACGTGGAGAAATTGACTCTATAAACCTTCATGTATCTTAAAACGTCGATATTTCTTTGCGCATCGACATTCGTGCATCTTTTTTCTTTGGTTTCTCAAGACCAAACGTCTCCCCCGCGCGTCAATTCGCGCAACATTCCTGTTACTCTCGATTTCGTCGCGCGTCGCCCACGAGACCATCTTTCTGAGAAAACGGAAACGCATTCACTTTTTTCCTCGTCGTCAGAAGGATCCCCCTTCGATAACGCGAAGATCGCACGTCTCGTACGGGGAAATGGAAATCGTCTTGAAGATCGTTCCGAGAACACGCGACGCTCTTATGAAACTGAACTACTGAACGAATAACGTCAGGGTTTGGGAAAGTGTGACCCGCAAAAATCATCATCCATCAATTATACTTTTTATTCAGATTTTATTATGTTCGGCTTGTTGACTTCGATATTTGATATTTTTCTCTTGCAGAACTGTGGAATGACCGAAAGTATATAAAATACTTGCAGACGTACAGTTTTCAGTTTCTGCTACTGCTTTGAAGACCAGGCCTTCGAGGAGAGCCGATAACGCTAACGTTATTGTTGAAGAAGATACAAAAACGCAACATGTAATATACACATAATATATAGTTACTAAATAACGCTCTCCCCAGTCTTTCCATATTTAATAAAAATTACGTTACTTGTTGATCAACAGTGACATTGGTTAAAGTGAACCGAGTTAGCGAGCGCAAATTTATCTTTTCCGTTTCATTTAGACACCGCGACGATATCAGATTTTTTTTTCCTACGCCGACAAATTCGATGACGATTATGCTTATCGATATATATATATATATATATATATATCTTCAGAAAAATAGCTAACTAATCCTTTAGTTAGATCCGCTAATTCACTAATTAAACAGCGCAAGATAACCTGATGCGTCTGTTCGTTGTACAAAGTGCGGTATACAAACTCGAGAAAAATCTAATGAAAGTAAAAGTGCGTCTATAAAATAGTCCATTAAAAGTTATCCAGAGTGTAAAGAAGACGAGGGTGTACGGAGGAAGGATCAGTCCCCTTGCCGTTATCGCTCCGATTGGCGGACATTTCTAAGATAGTTCGCGTAGTTGTAAAATTTAAACTTTACAATTGCAGCATGTAAAGCGTGCGTTCTCTATTATACCATCCTGTGACTACCTGTCATTAACCTGTCATTAACTGTCTCTGTGTGAACGTTATCGTCTCGTGGCCGAACTCGTCAAATCTCCCTCTGTCGTCGAGGTATAATCTCACGTCGCGATTACAGGGTGATCGTTTTAACATGAAGCCGCTTTCAAGCGGCTTGTCTCGCGCAACGTTTAAGCCTTTTTTCCTTCAATCGGTATCGTAAGGCACATATCTTTTTTTTTTGTTCTCTCCACACGTCCCGAATCTCTCGTGTAACCAGTGGGGGTCTCGCGCGCGCATCGAAATCGAAACGCGGCTCGGGAGCTCGATTGTTAATGAAACCGACGCTGTTCCACCGCGTTCCGCGCGCGACGAAAAATTGTGTTTCCTTTCGCGTCGCCATGCACGAGGGGAACTCGTTGTTACGGGCGTCGGAAAAATGAATATTGTCACAGTTAAGAATCCAAGTTGTCATTGCCACAGTGTGAGAGAAGTGATAAAAATAATTCAAACAAATATAAAACATTTTACTTTCGCGACGCGCATCGACAAACTCTCTTCTACAATTCGCTACCGGGCTTTCTTGTTTCTTCGCGTTAATTAAATTTCAATTGCCTCTACCTTCCGTAAAATCTCACAAATGTTTATACATGTGTGTGTTAATCGTCTTTTGAAATCGTCAATCTACCCAGTTGACACCAGCTGATAGTTTACATCATAATTTTCCGCTCAACAATATCAATGTGACACATGTTGTACGTAACAGTTGTATTGTTGGGCAGAAAATCTTAATATTAATTACTGTCAGCTGGTGTTTACCGAGGACATATCAAACCAAAAAAATATACGAATATATTTACTTTATGTATGCGTAATTCTCTTTCTCCTCTCTTAGCGGCGGGAAACAACGTCAGGTATCGCAATAAATATAAAGAAGCTCGGTGACAACAACACGAAGCAGATGCTGCGTTAGAACCTGGCCCTGATATAAACGGCCGAGGCATCATGTTCGCCGTATCCAAGACGTTTTGCGTGCTTGTATACTTCATTCGCCGCGGCAGCCAGCGGCAGAGGTTGCTCCAACTGATCGCTCATGCCTAACGACAGTCGCAGATCCTTCTGCATATGTTGCAGCGGTAGTTGAGTAGGGAAGCCGCCTTCAATTATCGCTATGAAACAGAATATTAAGAGTTAATATCAATTATGAATTCAGTGCGTAGACTTTTTGTTAATTAATTAGTTTTAGTACAGAATTCCAGAGGACATAATAATTAGAACGATTATATATTATTAATAAAATAAATATAATATAGTTACATTAGAGATAGAACTTTACTATTATTAAAATGATTAAAAAGCTGCATATTGCCTCATTGAATCAATTGAGGATAAAGACGCGGAATAAAAGAGGCTGGCTGATTGCGAGACAAATCGACGTCTACCTTTCCCTTTCTCGAGTATTGCCGGACACGCTAAAGATGTCAACTCCAGAACTTCCAGGACATCTTTCTGCTGGAGTCCAGCGCGATCCGCGAGTGCCATGCTCTCGGCCAGAGCTGCCAGGGTGACACCGGCCATTAGTTGAAGTACAAGATTCATCTTGGAAGCATTGCCGACTTCGCCGAGATAGAAGCTATTCTTGCCCATTGCCTCGAAGCAAGATTGACATTCGTCAAATAGCGAGCGGTCCCCGGCTGCGAGGATGACCAGGGTGCCCTCCTGTGCCTGCGTTTTGCTCCCTTGTACCTGTGCCTCGAGGTATCGACCGCCCTTACCGTTTATCGCCTCGGCGATATCTTGAGATGTCTCTGCGTCGATGCCGGTCATCTCGACGTAGCTCTTGTCGGGCGATATCTCGGTCAGGACACCGCAATTACCGAAGACCATCTGAAAGAGAGTTTTAACATGACAAATACACGTGCACACGTTCTCGTCTTAGTACATTAAAAAGTACAAATACATTTGAGAATAAGATAGATTATCTTGAAAGAATTTCAACTTATCGAACACTTACATCCTTAGCAGCCTGAGGGTCGGCCACGCATGAGAAGGTAATATCGGCTGCCAAAACGACATCAGATGGAGTCAATCCTTGCTCAGCTCCTGCCTTCACAAAATCTGTACACTGTAAAAAGAAATATGTAACGTGCAAATTAATTTTATTTGATCTCTGAATCATCTTATATCCCGCAATCTCAAAATCTGCAGTTTGCGAGAATTTTCGAACAAGATATTTTCAAAGACAAAGAGAGATTGAAATATAATTTATTTATTAAATTTAGAAAAATGCTAAAGCTTTGAAAACTCGCTGTTTTCTTACATTTGTTAACTGAATTAAATTATGCGAATTTTTCTTGATGTTTGTAGCATCAAATAAAAACATTCTAAATATTTCTAAATGAAATTATTATCTCTATAATATTTAATCTGTTAATATAAATTTACATATGTGTAATTTATATATAATCTATAATTATAAATAAAACTAATATTTAATTAATGTATACTATACATTAATTAGAAATACACATATAGAACAACGGATTCGTGTTTAGCAGTCACGCGTTCGTGCTTCGAGCGAAATTCAGTATCGTAGCACCATCTATGCGCGAGAGGCGCAGTCACGATTAGTACCATCCGACGCCGAGAGATGGCGGCACCGCGCGGAGCGACTCGTCACGTCGCACATGCCGTAACGAAAAGCGTTTGCTGCGTTCCTCGGCACGTCGGCCACCCGCCACATCAGCAAACGACGCCATTGCTGCCGAGAGGCGAGTTTTTCCCAGACTCCACCTTGAACGCCCGTCGCGGCTTCCCGTGCGGAATTTCTCGACGGAATTCCGGCGAGAGGATCCCGCACGGAAATCGCGGGCGAGGCGGGTCCGGCCGGAATTTCCGTAGAAGCTTCATGATCGATGCTTTCCCTGATTATCTCAACCCACGAAAATGGCGGACTGGAGCCGCGTGCCGTTTTAATCGCTCGAACTCGAGCCCTTTCGAATTTTCTCGCGTGCCTCTCGCCGATAAACTGGTTTAGGGCGCGGCTGTCCATCACGCGGGCGATCGCCGAGGTGGCGGCTTTTCGTCGGGGACGAGGCCGACGACGGCCCACGTCTTGCCACGCGTGTCACGTCGGCGAATTGATTTCATCACGTGGCCACCGCTGCCGCGGGCTACATTTTTTTTTTCCCTCCCCGAAGTCGATACGGAGCGCATCGGCGACGAGCTCTCGTCGGCATCCGCGAGATTCACGCAACGCGAACGCTCGAGGGGGGAACGCGGCCGCTCGCGAGGGTCCTTCCGGCGTCGACGACCGACGCCATTCCGACCGTTTTTCTCCGGCAACACGCTCGACCCGCACCATATTGCTCGACTCGAAAGTGGCCGATGCGCGATGCTCGAGTTCGAGACGCCACGAAATGAGTTGTTTACGAGTGATTCAGAGGCAGAGTAACTCGAGCATCTTTCTCGAAATTGAAGACACAGATGAATGAATGTGTGCGAAAGCACGTGGCTCGAGAAATAGAGAGAAGCATTTCTAACGATCCTAATAACTCCCTATAATTTTCTGTCCTTCGATCCTGAGTCTCTCGTCTCGCTTGCCTCGAAGATGACTGTGTGCGTGATTGAGCACAAGGATGATATACGAACGATACAAGAAGATATATGGTTTTGAAGAAGCATTGACGATCCGGTAAGCCCGAACAGAAATCTCTGTTTGGGCTTATTGTTATATCTCGGCCTCGAGCGATAGAAATAACATTCCATAGCTCGTTCGGTTTCTCTGAGACGTCCAGTGTATTTTTTGTATCCTGTATTTTGTACCTTTCAAGCCACATAAAAATACTAGTCCGAACGTTCCGGTGACTCAGCATGCCAAGCATATCAAGTGTGCGTGTTGATTTATCGAACGCGGCCCGACATTTATATATCAAAATTATCAAATAATATCGCAGATGGTAACGTCGGATATTGACTTCCTTCAGATTTTACAAAACTTATATAATTTCGGAGCGGGATAAGGCGCTCCGAATAATGTTTATCGCGAAGGTCGATTCTGACTCTTGTCACGTATTTTGTACACACACACACACACACACATACACACACGCGATACAAACATGTCCTATCTTCCTATCTCACAAAGGCACAAAGCATCGTTACAGCAACAGAAAAGATAAGCACAGAAAAGAGAAAGAGATAAAGCGACAAGATTTTCAGCAGAGAAAACAGATGGATCTCGTAAATAAACGTTCAATTAAGCCCGATTTCACAAATGTAAAATTAATTTTAATATTTATTTTAATATTTACTCGGTTTAATTTACTGTTTATCTCTTTCTAATTCTTAGATTAGAAAAAAGATAAAGCGAGTTGAACTTCGGTTAAAATCGAGTTGATCGTGAATTGTAAAAACCTTAGAGATTAAAGACTCTATAAAGGAATCTATATTTTGTAATCCTTAACAATGTTAATTATTGAAAGATCATTAATATAAAAAACTCTCTTTCTAATTTTTAACGATAAAACAGGGACAAAATTATTGTAAACAATAGCTATAAAGATATTACTGAGCTTACGACAGTCTTGTTACCAAATTGTTATTAATAAATAATAATTTATAGAAAAGGAAAATTTGTTTTTCACGAACGACAATCTTCAATAAATAAATAGTAGGATTACAGAATGCGATAAACGAGCCTCTTCGAAGCCACGTTCGCCCGCTTTCGGCAGCGAGTTCTTCTTCCTCGTCGGCAGACAGTTTCTTGCGAAGTACATAACATCCCTGTCGTCACGGTCTACTTCAAGAGTTACGTTCAACGTACGCGTTCGGGATTCTCGTCAATGCGCAGAAATAATGAACGAAGAATCTTTATCGTTATGCAGAAACACGAGTTCCGACCGCTTGATTATTCATTTTTATTAATGATTAACTTTAGATTAACTTTAATCTCAGTTTAACTTAATTCTTATCTTTTATAGTTCTATGAATTAGAAAAAAATAGAAATAGGTAAAGAATAAATCAAACCGTGATTAAAATAAATCTATATTGATAGAAATGGACATTAATCCTCTTGCGATCCAACATATTTCTTGCAAATAATATGGAAGAATCAAATATCTTGTCTTCAATCCAATTAGCGGGTATAATATAAATTGAAGAGAATTGTTATCGAGAAAATGGAGATCTCAGAAAAGTACTCGACAATTATAATGTAGAGTTTGTAGTATAGTTTGACATTTATCATGACTAGACACTTCTATAATACTTAGAGAACTATGCGAGCGGCTACCACAAAGCAGAGCGTCGAGTCTCACAATCAGCTTGACATGGGAGTATCTTAACAAAAGTATAATACCCACTTCCAACATTTAGTAAGCTTTCCGAATATTTTCAATGTATTCACCGAAGCGAGAAAATTCGATTGTATAGAGCAAAACCAGAAAAGAAAAAAGAGGATTGCAAATTGTAATCCGCAAGATTGTGAACGCGGCCAGCGACAGCCGCCATCCGAGAAGAAATAACGTTCATCACGTTTCACGTGATTCATTAAGAGTCTTGACTATCTCATTTTTATCTCAATAGCGGAGGAGGAGTGGGACGGTTCGACGATTGCGGGAGGGGGGAAGAATTGAATTAATTCCGATCGCTTCGGCATATTTTTTTTACCTCCCGTCGCGCCGCGTCGTAACCGCGACGCGCGCTGCATAACGCTGTGAAATTCACGTCGCGCGCTCCGCGGAGAGGCTCGGCACGACCTTCGTCGGTACGCCGTCATTGTGCCGCCGAAGACGGAAGCGGCCTCTGAATGAGCACCGGGCACCGAGAATCGGAGCTAAGCGATTAATGGTCAAAGAACCTCGTTCCTTTCTTCCCGCGTGTGACGTGATCGCGCGAACGCGGCGTAAAGCGATCGCGCGCGCTTCATTCCGTCTCCAATTGCGACGCGCACCAAATGTACAGGGCGTCTTAGAACGTATTCTCAGATGACGATTCTCTCTCTCGATAAATTATTTCCCAAATTCCTTAACTTTAGATGATATTAATATTGCGATATTTTTATAAAACTTTGCATTACATTTTATATATTCATATCAATATCTCGCTAATTCCTCGAAGGCTTTCCTTGCTCTTTTAGCGAAATGCATGGCGAACATTTTAATTTCGATCAACAATCTTTTCAATACCCGTAATTATTTGATTAAGTAATAATTAATGTAATGGGAATTAAATTAAGAATTAAGTTTTAAGAATTAATAAGAATTAAAAGAGAATTCAGAAGCCGTTTTCTGTATATCTTATTTTGCTCTTCAGATTTGCTCTTAAGAGATTGTGTGCGTAAACAACGATGTTATATCGCTCGATTTTTGCGAAAGACGAGACACTCGATTCCGGGTGACTCAAGGATATGGCATTTTGCAGCGTCTATTCCGAGAGACACAGGTTATGCATATACCGTCAGCTAGACGTAAACGTCCAAATTCGATCGGAATGAAGAGAGGGGAAGCCTCTCTTACTTGAATGAAGTTTAATCACTTATAGCTTTTTGGCGAGGTATCGATCGCCTGGCACCGAAGAGATGCTTATCACATGACATTCGAAAACACTTCGTGACAAATGTCCTCGACCGGATTCCCGGATTCGGAGCGAGAGGGCGGGGGGATGGGAGGGGAGCGCATATAGGTTCGATCCGACGCGACGAAAACGACGTAGTTTATAATTGCAAAATGTGTAACCGTTGAACCCTCGTTATTTTAAGGTCCTCAGGCGAAAGAAGAGAGCCATTCTCGTGTCGCGGATCCTCGTCATTAAATCAACCGACGATCTGATAGAATCGACAATTCGGCTTCTCTTCCTGTCTGACGCGGAGCGTCAGATGCACAAATTGAATTTTCTTGACAGTAATTTTATAATGTATTTAAATAAATATGAGGATTAATCTAATCAGAGACGATGTGATTAAAGATCAAGATAAAAATAGCAGGAGATAAAATGTATAAATTAAAATATATATAAGTTATGTAAAGAGAAGGAATTAAAAGCAAAATAAAATATATGTAATAGAAAACGGCTTCTGAATTTTATTTTAATTCTCATTAAAATTATTACTTAATCATATAATT